CTCGTCAATGACTTCATGGATTTCTGCCATGTTTTGGTTTGGCCGCCCCTAACTTTCTTCCAACCTATTCCTACACTACAAAACAAAGCTCGACGAGGCAGTCGGTGGTTGGGCATACGCAACACATGTTCCAACCACCTCAACTGATGAAGTTTCACCACTTCATCGATTGATCTGCCATTCTTACCTAGTACCCGTTTCCTAATAACAGCGTTGCTCATTCGGGTGTCCCACGATATACGAGCAATGCTTCGAAGACACCTATGATCGAAAACCACTAACCGACGAGTATCTTCTACTCTCATTGGCCATGTTTCACAGCCATAAAGTAAGACGGAGCGAACTACTGCGCAGTACACTCGTCCTTTAGTCAGAAAACGGACATCTCGCCTACGTCATAAGTGACGCAAGTTGGCAAATTCCAATCGAGCCTTCTGTATCGGTCACACACCAGGCCATCTGCACTGATGAGACTCCCGAGATAAAGGAAGCGGTCTGCACGCTCCACTAATTCACTCCCTATCACTAGTTCAGGTGCCGATGCAACCCAATCCTGAGGCAACATTTTGCATTTCGAGGGGGAAAACCGCATTCCGAACATGCTTGAATTGTTGCTTAGGGTAGTCAGAAGACTCTGCATTTTGTCAGCGTCTTCACCAAGTAGGACTATGTCATCGGCATATTCTAAGTCAATATGCGAGCCACCTGGTAAAAAGTCTACTCCTGGAAATGCAGACGAGGATAAGGTTATTTCTAGGAGCATGTCTATGATAAAATTAAACAAGAATGGAGAAAGTGGACATCCCTGACGGACACCACTTGAAGTGTGGAATTCCGGTGACAGTTCGCCATAAGCTCTCACTCGACCAATGGTGTTCGAGTAGAGAGCTTGTATAAGGTTAATGTACTTCTCTGGTACACCTTTCAATGACAGACACTGCCACAGAACCTCACGATCCACTGAGTCGAATGCCGCCTTAAGGTCCAGGAACACGACTGACGTCGGACGTCTAAATGTGTGTCTGTGTTCCAGGACCTGTCGTAGTGTGAAGATGTGGTCTATACAACCACGTCCAGGTCGAAAACCAGCCTGGTTTTCTCGAGTCTGCTCTTCACGAGCTTTCTTTAAGCGCCGAAGTATTATTGAGTCCAAAATTTTAGATACTATATTAGTTAGACTTATTCCCCTGTGATTGTCACAAGAAGACTTTTGTCCTTTCTTATAGATTGGGACAATCAGTGATTGAGACCAGTCGGATGGGATTAGGTCCAGTTCCCGGATTCTACCTAAGATCTCAGTCAATCTAGCTGCTAAAACTGAACCACCATCTCTAAATATCTCAGGGGTCAGTCTATCAGGACCTGCAGCTCGTCCTCGTTTCAGATTTCCTAACGCTTTTTCAACTTCATTAAGACTAGGGGCACTTAGGTCGATTTGCCATTCAGGATGGCTGGAGATCGTGGGTAACCGAAGAGTGGCTCGAGGCCAGTCGAACTGATCCCTAAAGTGTTCTGCCCCTCGATCCAGTCTCCTGGATTGAGAATAAATAATGGTCCCATCCTTTTCCGAAACAGTCTCACTAACAGAAGGATTCCTAATACCAGTTTCCTTGATAAGTCGGAAAAGTTGTCTACTGTTGCCGATCGCCGCTGCCTTTTCCATCGCTTTTGCTTTCGCCACCCACCACTGTTCGCGATCGTTACGTAGGCTTTTTATAAGTCTGCGCCTAAGTTGACTTCGTTCTTCATCATGTTCAGAGCAGGTGGGATGAGTTTTCGGGCATCCATCAGATCGGTGGATTCTACTGAGATCCACGATTTCATTCTAGCCTTGTGGTCAACCTTACTAGCAGATATCACTGCTGTTTCCACAGCCTTTTTGATATCATACCAACCTGCTTCTGGATGGGAATCGCTTGCATGGTTGCTTAACTCTCTTTCTAGTTGCTCCTGAAATATTTTCTTGGTTTGATTATCATTAAGTAAAACCCTAAGAGGCTTTCTTACGGTGTCTTTCCTACGCCCAGTAAGCTTCAAACAAATACGCGCTCGCACTAGGGCATGATCTGAATCTAAACATGTGCCCCAGAACGAGCGACAGTCCTCTATCGAACCCCTCCGTCGGTGGCTGATGGCGATGTGATCTAGTTGAGTCCAACGTTGAGACGACTTTGAGGGTCGCCAGGTCAACAGATGCTTTTCCTGATGCCTAAAGTTGGTGTTCGCTAAGAATA